ACATTAAAAGATTACATGGGGAGAAAACACAATACTACGGGGCCTTCCACTCTGTCTGGACAGTTTAATACCCTTCTAACATTCAAACCAGAAAACAAATTGCACATGTTTTTGAGGAAAAACATACAAAGCAAGTAGCCTCTGAGTTTGACCAGGATCTGAACCCAGGACCTCTCACACCCTAAGCACTAAGGTCTTGAATAATCGTCACAAGGAAGCAAACTGGGGATAGAAGTGACATCAAAAGAAAGAGGTTGATGTCTTAATGTAAACATATGGGATGACTCAAGAAATTCACAGTTTAACCCAGGAGTACACATATGAAGGGGGACTCTGACCCACCTGAGGGATCGTTCCTTTCACTAGTGCCGGGATGTCGTCTTTGGTGTATCCCACAGCTCCCAGTCCATCTTCCACGTGCAGGTCGTACAGAATCTGACGCAGCGTGTCGGCCAGAACGGCACCCGCATCCTCCCTCTTCACCTGCCGGATATCTGCACCTGAACATAGCACAGAGAAAGTCTGTTACTGCACAATTTTTAAAGAGTGATGGCAGTTTTGGTGAATTTGGTTATTTTCTATTGATAGCTGAAGAAATAAAGTGCTACTACTGCAAAAAATAAAGAAAGAAAATTAGATTTTTTTCTATTTTAGACTTCTTTAAAAAGGTACAAAGAGCCCTTAAAAACCTTATTTTTGAATACCTTCAATATTCTTAAATAACTGAAAAGTCTCTCAATGGAGGCATTTAAGGTCCCGCTGACTGTCTTGGATGTTTGATGTTTCACTGTTTGTGTGCCCTGTTGTTGTTGGAGGTTCCTCTCCAGTGTATTTCTGTCTTTTTTTCTAACTGAGTGATTTTATTTGGCTCATTGAAGTCTGGAAACCTTTTGGTTTGGCTGGATAAATAAAGTAGACATTCCACACAGTCTCTATTATACTAAATCTAATATGGCCTAGTGTGAGGCGTTCAGGTACCGAGGATCTCTGCGGCCTCAAGGTGGCGCTCCGGACATATCGGGGCTGTGAAGTTGAAGACGGCCGGAGACGTAAGGACAACGGAGAGCCCGTGAGGCTGAAAACACAAAGTTTAACAGAACATTTTATTTAAAAGCTGCACAGGTCGAGTATGAAACAAAGTAAAGTTCTGTGTGGAGTTCCTCAGGGAACCTGCACGGGTCCATCTCAATCAGAGGTGTAGTGTTTTGTTTAAGCACCAGAGCATTGGACACGCTTGAGTCATCCTTTGTTTCTAATCTTGTTTGACCATCATTCAGCTCTAATTAAGCAAAGTGATCAAACGTCAGAATGAATTTAAGAATATGAAGTCATCTGTCTGACCATCCTCATCAGTTCTTCCATGCTGCTCACAGCTCTCTCCCTCCCTGGTGTCTTTTCTCTCAGTCTTTCCAACGTTGCCATCTCTCTACTTCACTTATTTCTGCTCAATTTTTAATTCTGCATTATTCTCATCACAACATGTGAGTAATTAATAAAATATCACTAAAAACTTTATAATAATGCCAGAGTACCTCAAGTTTTTTGTTGGTGAGTTTGTACATAAATGATTTACCTGAAATTTGTACCTGTAGTGTAACTTATGAATGTTTGCTAATGATATGCTTTTATATCTATATGTTAAAAACCAAGAAGCAACAGTCCCTTTAAAATAAACAAACCCATAGCTCTTCACTCACTCCTGACCCTGCGTGTTTATAGCTGAGCCCCCTTCTGCTGAAACCAGCAGAACTGAAGTTAACTAAGTTTCAGGGTTTTAGTCTCATTTCTGCACAGAAATCGGGTCATAATCTAAATATTTTTGTGGGACTTTGCTCAAAACACCATTCTCCTACAGTGTCTTCTTTCTATTGGACTCATACACTTCAGATAGAAATGTGTATCAACCTCATCTGTTAATGCGACTGTGTTAAGATAAGAAGGAACTTTATTGTCCCACGTGGTGAAACAGTACTAAATATAGCAGCATTTGCATGTGAAAACCAGCTCCAAACCTCGAGAAGTAAATTACTTATCTAATTAGTAAAAATTTGTTTCCCTTAATACAGCTCCAGCAAACATTCAAGTACATGATGATGTGACTCCAAAGTACAATAGATGTTGGGACAAAGGAGAGCTTATAGCGATTTGTTTTACAAGTACTTGCTGTTTACTGGGGCCGAGGGTAATAAGTCATACGCTGAAAAATGGATCATTAACAATTTTATGAGCCTGAGGAAAAAACTGATTTCTTGTATCTTGATTGGAGAGATTGGTGCTCTTTCATTTCTATGTTTGCATATTTTCATTGCCGTTTTTACCAGTTTAATCTTCAGTCTTGACTTTACTGTAAGTAAACCAAATCAAGCTTCTGCACCATATCTAATCAAACTTTAAAGCACTGCATTATAAAAAAAAAATACCCATAACCTTATCGCTACGAACGATGTGTGTTAGACTTTAAAAAGTACCTGCAGAAAAATAAAGGCACGCAACTGTCCACATGTCACAGTAACAGCACCTTCATGTACTCAGGCCTAAAATGAGTGATAAATTGTGTTCATGGTACAGGCCAGCTGCTTCACACAGAGTTCTGTTTGTAATAATGCAGCTCTCTTTTGGATAAATCCTAAATAAATAAATAACCGTGGAAATGTTGTTTTCCCTCTTGGAAAATGAAAATCATCACTCCAGCTGCACTACACCAGTGATCTCAGCCAAGAACATCTGTTTGCAGTGCCAGCTGTCAGTAGCGGTTTTTGATACAGGCGACACGGGCAGTTGCCCGGGGCGGCATCGTGGTGGGGTGCGGCATCACGGGCATCGGCAAAAAAAAGAAAAAGAAAAAAAAATTGTTCGTACTCATGCTGCCCTGACATCAGCCAGCGCATATTGGGAATGGCGTAGGCACCGATCGGCTTTCTATTGTGGCTAGCTTGACTGTGACTTCGTAAGTGAGGGCTCACTTGACCGCGGTCCCATTAGCTGGGAGTTTGGGCGCCCTCCGTTTGCAAGGTGCGACTGCTGCTTGAGGGGGCGGGGCAGCGGGACAGACACCAGACATTATGATACAGACTTGTAATTTGCACCGATGCTTTTTCGAAATTCTGTACGCGAAAGGTGGGTGCACCTGCTCTGCTGCTGAAGTCAAAGTAAACTTTATTGTCATCAGCTACAGTCCAGTATATAGAGAGACAAGACGACGAGGCTCCAGTTACAGCAGTGCAAGAAAACAAACAATAAATATAAGAAGAGTAAGAAAATAAATATAACTTCAGGACTCAGGTTAAAGGGATCAATAACAATTTAAAATTTATAATTTACAGTTTGATGATTTAAAGTCTCACACACAACCTGTCGAAAGGGGAGGGGGGCCTGCTGCTTC